TTGATTTGCTCTCATCATACCGAAAGAGGATATAGATGTTATGTTCTTTCTTGGTACTATCATAAAGAATCATAATATTATCTTGAAATTCTTATACAGATGATACATAGTTTTACCCATTATCGTCAAAAATATGTTCATATTTATCATCCCTTCCTCTGAAGCACAATGAGCGAGTCAGAAACCATGGCAACATTTTGGACAGTGATCTCAGGTTTAATGAAAACATCAATAAGGTTAGTAAGAACTGCTTTTCTTATGTTAGAAAAGTTAAACGATTCTTATCTCAAAGTGAAATTGGTCCATGCTTTCATAGAAATTAGTTTAGATTATCGTGGTGCTCCATTTGCAGGACTCTCACAAATAATCAGTAGGCCGACTCTCATCTTATTCAAAATGCAGCAACAGAGTCCTTACAGGTACGCACAAATTTGACCATGCAATGTTGAAGTCACTTCATAGACTCCCAGTGCAATACAGAATTACCTTTAAAAGCTTTTTATTAGTTCATAAAGCTCTTAGTAGTTTGGCCCCTTGAGCACATCTCTGACTTGCTCACTGTTTATAACCCAGTCAGATCTCTCAGGTCATCAGGTCCAGAATTTTTAAATGTTCAGATGCAAGTATGCTGAGGGAGTGTTTGGTTACTGTGGTCCTGTTCTTTGGAACAAGCTGCTCACACAGACCTACACTTAATAGCTGTGTGTGTTTTTTAAAGATTTATTTAGCTATTTTCACTACCTTAAGGTATTGTACTTTTTTAATGCACTTCTTTCTTCTGCGTTAAGCACATTGACTTTAGATATAATGAAATGTGCCATATAGATTAACATTGCCAATGCCATATATAATTCCTAATGTAAGCTGCTAAAGTGTTTAATACAACAAAGCCACTGAGGACTTACCTCAGTTTGCCAATAAAACTCTCTCCACCTCGAGACAGATCAGTTGGATCAATGGAGATGAGGTAATTTGATGTTTTACTCTTTTTCCTCTTTCTCCCAGCTAACAGGAACACCTGTTACCAAACCATATTGTCAAACACTTACAGACAATCAACATGGTTTGATACCACAAAGCTGCATTATTTGAATATATATAAGTTAGATTAGAGTCCAGATGTTAACAACTTACTGTAAAAATTCCCTGACAGATATCTTGTGTAATATGTTTTTAAACCTTAAAGACTCGTCTCACCTTCTTGCCATCCTCTCTCTCCAGGTGGAGATAGTAGGTCGGATACATGCCTCTGTCCATGCCCTTTTTGTCCCTGGTGATTCTGCACTTCACTCTGACCCCCTGCGGTGCTGGGCGCAGCGAAAACTCCTCAAGGTCATCAACATCAATGGCAGGTTCACTGACTGGTGGAGTGGGTGCTGAGGCCACCTCCTGTAGGATCAAATATGGCAAGAGCCCTCGTGAAATGGTGGACTGATGAGCATTAAAGCAGAGTAATGAGTCTGAAAATCAAATTGTCCACTGGGATTAAGAATGAGCACACTGTGTCTAAAATAAGAACCTGAAGCAGAGACAGAACATTGAAATGACTGAAGGGGAAAAAAATTAGAGTGGAAAGAAGAGCAAAGAGAAATTATGTTATCAAAAGGGGAAAGAGACAGCAACGGCTGGGAAGTCCATAACTGTGTGTTTCATTCTGTGCCTTTTTACCTAGTTATACTTTTGCTGCATTCACAGTGTGTTTGCACTTAAAAAGGAAGTCATTGCCAATCAGACACTTTCCAGATGGTATTACATATGGAATCAACATCTATACTGTTCAGCTAGACCCCCAACACCACTGGCTGAAATGTTGGTCGAAAACATGACAGAGTTGTCCCCTCTTTCCTGAACTCCTCCATATATGCTGCAGATGCAAATTTATATTTTTAACTCCATAAGACATTTTGCCACTGATACTCAGTACAATTCTTGTGTACTTTGGGATACCTCAGCCTTTTCTCCTTGTTTCCCTTCCTTAAGAATGGCTTCTTGAAAGCCACATATCCACTGAGACCATTTCTGATGATGGTTCAGTGAACAGAAGATGGATCAACTAAAGGGCCAGATGTATCTCTGTCCTGTGACATGCCTTTTCTGTTTTTCCCCCTATATCTTAAAGACGTGACATTTCAGAATTGGATCTTTGCTAAGCTGTCTTTTATGTGTGAATACAACACTGGTTAATCCCTTGAGTTTTATGCTTGAATGATTCATAGGCCAGGCTTAAATGGCTCAGCAAAAAAGGAAAAAAAAGTCTCTGATAATGGTCAGGTACAAGGACTGTACAGAACATTAGCAAAAAGCAGTTAATATCCAAAGAAAAGCTGAAAGGCTAGGGCACTATGGCCCAATACCATGCTAAAAACAAAAAACTAGAAACTCTAGCTTCTTGGAAGCAAAGATTACAAAAAAATGAAGGGTGGCTCAAGACTTTCTATAACTTCTATAAATAGACTTCTATAAACAAAGACATTTTTGTACTTTGGCTACTTTCTTACAAGTGGCCATCAAGCAAAAGGCTCACTGAGGTAAGAAAACAACTGAGGAACAATGATAGCTTTAAAGGAATCACTTGAGCTGGTTAACATTTCTGTTATTGAGTCTTCCTCAAGCAAATTGAAGTTGTATGGGTCCTCCCCCCAAAACATGACAGCACACCTGCATCCACAAGACTAGTAAGAAGCAGAGTACAATGTGTGGTCCTAGAAAAACATGGAAAAAATAAACCTGTTTCTGAAACCTGTTTTCTAAAACTACTTTTATTGCACCATGTTCATTCACTCTTGAGCTGCTGTAACATGAATCAAATGGCTGAATTGCCACATCAGCATACAGTCAAGTTCTATAGAGTCTTGCTAACGACCTACTAATTGTATTCAGGTTTGAGACCCCTGGCATATGGGAAATACTTAATTTGTTTTAAATTAAGCAATAATTGTCTGCAACTCTACTTTCAGCTGGGAAACTATCCAAGTTGGTGATAAAATAGCAGATTTTTGTTTTTTATTAGCTACTGTCAAAAGGTGCTCGGTGCTGCGCAAAAAGACATGCAGAGAAATTCATGCTGTGAAATTAATTTTACCTTGCTGGACTTTTTACTGGTGGCAGAGCCTGGTCTTGTGTTGCTGTTGAGCTGTGAAGAGCTGGAGCTAATTTCATCATCATCATCCTCCTCTTCATCAAAATTCATGCTGCTCGATATACCTTCACGGGAAGGATGGAAAGAAGGAACGAGAGGAAGAAAGAACAAAAGAAAGAAATTAAATTGGAACTGTGGCTAAATATCAGACTTAAATACCAGAAATACCAGACTAATCCACTTGTGGCTGTGTTTTATCTGGTGTGTTTTCACTGATTACAGTCTCATTTAATGAGCAATTTTGTTGTGTTTTTTGGCACATAAAACTTGCTGAAAATGTATCTTACTTAAAGCATTGTGATGTCTTACAAGAAGAAAGCGTAGCGTTCATGCTGGGACGGCTAAAACAACATTCTTGCCACTTAAAATAATCTTTTTATTTACTTTTAATTTTGCAAAGTTAAACCCAATTAAGCACCTGAACTCTAACCCTCATCACTCAATTCCACTTTCTATTTGCTACCCAGTACACTGTGATGAAAAACTGTCATAATGGATCAAGGAAGCACGTGCGCTATTACAACTCTCTCCACTACACTTTTGCATCAGTGCATTTGATTGTAAATTACAGCTCACATACCGGTCAACGTAGTCAAAAAATTCCCTTTGCTGCATGTAGATTATACAGTTTTTGTGTTAATTATGTATGGAACAATTGATGTGTGTTAGCGCTGAGTGTTTACAGTACGAATAATTATATTATTTTTCATTCAGACGCTGAATTTTAAAATGGCCTATTTATTTGGAGTTGTGTGTTTTTTAACATGAGTCAGTGTTTTTCATCCTCCCACCAACACAACGCAGCAGCAGACCAGAATGCCGTGGGTGTAAATAAGGACTTGTAGTTGTGCTATTGCAGAAGCAGTGGCAGAAGCTTTCTTGAGCGCTGTCAGTACCTTTTTTGAGCATGGTCACGCGAAGATCCTGTTTACTCTGAGACTGAGTGCAGCTCATCACGGGCTCTGCCTCGGCCTCCTCTGAGGTGGGGTGACCCACTGTCAGGATCTGGATCTGACTGTCATCCTGCTGGGAAGCCAGGCCATCGATCCCTGCTGAGTCAAAATTCCAGAAAAGAAAAACAAACTCTTTCAGAATGACTCACTTCTTTTCCACTATCAGTATTTCATGCTGTCGTAAGATTCAAGTCTAAATGAACCACTGCAAAGTACAACAAGAGCAGGTCATTCAGCAATAATGTGTGCATTAATCACATTGTCAACTAGCCTGAGTAAATCTGACAACATTCCCATTTCTCCACTTTTGGGCATTTTGTTTTATGTAATTGTTTTGCTCTGTGTCTTCAATATTCAATCAACTTCTAAAGTGTGCATTCAGGCAAAAAGAACACTTCTCCACTTATCCTATGAAAAAAAAAATTAAAAAAGAAAAGAAAAGAAAAAAGAAAACATTGCATAGAGTTTGCAGGTATTCAGATTTACAGCTCTATTAAGGTCCCACCACTGCATTTAAATCATATTGTGGTCTGGACTTCTACTGGACCACTGCAGCACCTTAATTCATTTCTTCTGTTGCATGAACTCATTTTGGGTGTAAGTTTTGGCTGCTGGACCCATGACCTCCCATTTCACTCTAGAAAACCTTATACACAGAAATTCACGGTCAACTAAATGACTGCAAGTTGTCCAAATCTCCCCTCCACTGCTGTGCTGCCAGTTGTTATGAGGTGTTCATTTTTCTCCAAACATCATGCTGTACATAATAACCAAACATCATCACTTTGCCCTCATCTGTTCAAAGGTTAGTGCTCCATTCTATTGTCTTGTAGTATTTTTTTCAGATGCAAACTTAAGCCATATTGTCATGTTCTGCTTTCCACTAGCAACCCTTCCAAACAAGTCATGCTTTTTCAGACTTTTTCTGATTGTACTGACATAAACTTGAACATTTTTTTTTTGAGCACAGTTTGACCTTGGGGTGAAACTTCTAGGAAGTCTACTCAGGGAAGAGGGTGGCATTATGCTAACACACATCCAGAAGCTCCAGACTAACTGCAAAAAATGTTGGTTTTAGAAAAATGTTCACACTTGCTGATGATGAATGTACATAGCTGCATAACATCCTGTAACAGCTGTCATTTTGACGTGACTGCATATTCTACTGAGTATATATGTTATATATTAACATGCTGCTTTAACAAAATTAGGTCAGTCTTATTTTTTGATTTCTTATTCAGTCCCCTGTCTTTCTTTTCCTTCAGAGATATGCGTGTAAAAATCAAGAATCCTATTTTTATTTTATAAAAGTATGTAAAAGGCTGCATTTTCATGTCTTCATTATCTAAACTGAAAATGAACACGCTCTGATCTTCCTAGAGCTCATTTTCTAATGACTGCATCATTTCTGCTTATGCTTTAACGAATCAGAGCACGAGACAGAGGAAGAAGTGAGACAGATCAATAAGTGGTGAATTTGGCACTACTGGCCTGGATAATCTTTTACCACAGTTGAATCCAATTCACTTTCCTGGGACAAAGTCATTCCAAAGGCAAGCATCTGCTGTATTGCAGTATATCAGATGCCAAATGTCTCCAAAGTCAGATATTGTTGATCAAGCTATGTATTTTTTTGGCAAACACCTTTGCTATTATATTTCATTGTGCTGAGTCTGCAATAACACACATTGAAGGTTGAACGGCATGGAAGCATAAGGGAAACAATGACAGCAATTGTAGTTCTTTTAATCTTCTAATGTAGGTCTTCATTTGTGGTGCGTCAGTCTGTCATACATCATCACAGACACTGAGCTCTGACGACTTTGGCACCATGGCAGGAGCTAAGAGGGCAGCCGCGTTTCACTCAGTTGTGCTGTTGCCAGCTGTGGCTCAAAAAAATCAGTGGGGAAACGTTATCTGAGGAGGGCATACAGAGCTTGGATAGACTGTTGAAGCTGCTGGATAGTAAGGATTTTGGATCCTCTCTTTTTCACACAGGGGACCGTTTCTAAAAGCTGATTATTTGGTCTTTAAAAATGGCCACGAACAGTATGTTTATCCATTTTTCATACAGTTTAATTAACCATTTGAACCAGCACACTGACCTTTGTGTTTCCCCTTCCTCTCCTTCTTTTCACTGCCTGTCTGTGGAGTGGAACTGGCTGATGCTTTGCCCTTTTTGGCTGAGCGTGGTGGCTGTGGATCCGACATCACCTTCACCTCTTCCTGTTCAGCTTCTTGCACTGAACACAGGAATGAACACAACTGAAGCACATGATGGGTTATAATAAATGTCTTTCAAATTAAACATTACGTTAGGTTTTAGTGTAATACACAATACCATTTAAAAGTATTTGCCCCTTTTAGATTATTTTTTTAATATAAACATAACCTGAGTAAATACAAAATGCAATTTTTAAATGAGGATTTAATTTATTGAGGGGAAAAATGCTATCCAGACCTACCTGACCCAATGCAAAAAAAGTTATTCGACCCCTAAAACTAATAACTGGCTGTGCCACACTTGACAGCAAGAACTGCAACAAAGCATTTGTTATAACTGAAAACAAGTTGTTCACATCAATGTGAAGGAATATGAAGCAATCCTTTCTACAGAATTGTTTAAATTGAGCCACACTGGAGCATTTTACATCATGAATGGCCTGTTTAAGGTCATTCCAAAGCATCCCAATCAACTTTGAAGCCATGAAAAAACCTTAATCTGTTTTTTTTAGTCAGTCAGAGGTGGACTTGCCGATGTGTTTTGGGGTCATTTTTGTGGTGCACTAGAACTATGCCATAGAATAAGAAATCAGGAAGGTGGAAAATACTTTTTCACAGCAACCTATTACAATCAAAATGTTCAATTTTTGACAAATACAGTAAGTGACTGTAAGATCATTTTTTTACTCAATGTGGGACTAATACTAGGCTGCAAATCTGTAGCTAAAATCACCGCAGGTTTACAGTCCAGAGGTTCCAGCTTAGAAAAAGTGTGGAGCTAACTGTGAACGAAGGCTAGAATGTTTTTATTCATTTTCCCGTAGCATTGTTATGGTTTATTATTCTCTTTTTTGCATCAGAATAAAAGAATATGGCAGAAGAACATCTTTCTCTTCTCTCTACAGGAAATTTGACAGTTCTTGGCCTTAATCCCAGAAACTGACCCTCAAAAAATAATTAAATAAATAAAAATGCTCTGCCTGGCCTCTGTGTGTAAATAAGAAGACTTCAGCGGCCCCAGATATAACAAATGGTTATGTCTATAACTTCTGTTCCCTGAAGGAGAGTAACTAGGTACAAAATATAAAGTATTGCATAATAACTTTATTTATATAGCACTTTTCAAAACATCAAGTTACAAAGTGCTTCAAAGTTCGAATAAAAGCTGCACACTGATTATACGTGTACATGAATGAAATAAAGGGGAACGGATAAAGGAAACCCTAACCTATGAAAATGAGTTTCAGCATTCGCTTAAAACAAATAACAGACTGAGCCAAACTGATTGACTTCAGAAGGGTGTTCCACAGTTTGGGCGCTACAACCTCAAAAGCATGATCACCTCTGGTTTTAAAATCACGCACTAGTTAGATGGATGGATTCGTCATGGTCATCCCTCAGTTTAATAGCTGCTCTTCAGTGAGCCAGGCAAGGGGCAACCTTGTGTTGTACCTTGTTCCTCTTAACATATCTACTCATTCTGTTTCAGTCGGTTTACTCAGTACAACACACACAGCATGGGACATATGTACATACATAAATATACAGACAATCAGCACCTTAGTGCTTAACGAGCGACTGAAGAGGATGTAACGCCCAAATGATAGACAGACCAGATGATGGACCAACTAGCTGCAGCACAAAAATTAATTTAAAAATTAATTAATTTAAAAAGGGCCCATAAGGTTGCTATTCCTCTGGTGGAATCCCATGCACCATTGGTGACAAAACGCACAGGCTTTGGTTTCAGTAAACATTCTTATAGCGTGGACAATCCCCACTGTCCCCTGCAGACAGTACTGAATAGAAGATTTCTGCTTTACTTGCTTTGGTTTTGGTTACTCATACCGAAATCCAAAGCAAAATTACTGCACAAGAAAACTCAAAATTAGTGCTCCGTGAACAGCCTATGCACCAACTGACCAGTGGAGGCTAACACAATCAGGCGCAGTTAAGCTAACTTCAAGCCACAGACAGCAGAGCTAACTAGCAGTAGCTAGCTAGCCCGACTCAGCAGAGGTTTTCTTGGCAAGGTAAAGAACGTAAGAAATAAGGGGTGTATGTGATAACACGGTGTATATGTACAGCCCCACGTGCACCTATGTCATCACAAGTCATGTGCCTTAAAGCAGTGAACAGAAGAAGTCTTCATCCAAGATTTGCGGGGCTGTGATATCCCACATTACATGTGTTGTACTTCGAATCGACTGAAAGGGAACACACTTTCTGCTCCTGTGTGGTTTGATTTGCAGCACTGCAGTAGATGATGCAGTGTGTTGTATTCCTTCTACATGATGTCTTATTTAAAGCTGTAAATTTTACAGCTATGCAACACTAATCATTCAAAAAATGGTTTCATGTCTGGTTTATAGTTCTAATTGGGATGCCAGGAAGAACAAATACTCTTTATAAATAAGAAAGACTTATTAAACAAACAGTGTGACTTCTTTATTTCTTCAGCTGATGTTTTTCTTTAATTCTCTGTTTAAGCTTTCTGAATCAACACAGCCAGAGAGGAGTGCAAGCTTTACCATGGTAGATAGTGCTGCTGTTGCTGCTGAGGTAGGATTCCACCAGTGGAGCCTGTTCCTCACTTTGCTTGGTCCGACGGGTCCGTGATCTCCCATCCACATTAGACTGGACCATCAGGGGCTCTTGCCTCTTCTTCTTCTGCTTCTGTTCAAGGAGTGCTCGCTGACATTTCAAGCAAATGGAAAAATAAAGGTAGAGTTTCAACAAATAGAAAAAGTCACTATCTTTACTGATCTTCACTGAAGTAATGACATTAGAGACCAAATGTCGCCATGTTTACCGTGACTGAGTACCAGCATGCCATGTCTGAAAGTGGTAGATAATCGTTTCAGTAGAAGATTATCATTTGCAATTCATTATTAAATTGGTGTCAAGAAAAAAGAAAAAAGAACCTCTCCGAAGGCAAAAAGCAGGAATGATATGTTTTGTCAGTCCATCATGGTCTCAATGTGTTTGCGTCATCATTAGTAGTGAAATTTAACAATGCGCCATTTCAATTCATTAGCTTTCATTTTCTTTCCCCGCTTTCCGCCATTTTCCCTGCTGAGCATCATCTTTCCTTTTTTTTTTACCAGTTACTTCCGTTTACTTTATCCTCATTCATTTAATAAGCACCACCACAAGGAGTCATTAAGTAGTGATTTCAATTGGCGAGGGAAATCCATTTAGAGTAGGCACATAGACATATCAATATTGGCGCCAGTGATTCAGTAAGAGCTATTATTGCCATATCGAATTTGTAGTGAGATAATTTATCTGAATTTCAGGAGCTGGACCACAACTCCAAACACTCCTCTTCCGGCCATACGTCTATAAATGTCTACTTGTGCCACACATCCATTTGTTCTCATTTCTGCGACCCACCCTCCCTCTGCTTTTTCTCTGGTTGTCAACCTCAGAGATATGCCAGGCCTGGGAGCTCGATGAGGCCTTCCTCAAACCGCAGCCTCTGGCCTAGCCTGTTGCTTCATAAACAAAAACATTTGCCATCAACATTTAAAGTTGAGGTCCTTGCTACTGAAATATAAATCAAAATTACCTCAGTTGGCGGTTTTGTAAAGATTCAGCTGCTGATTAAGAGCACCACAGACAGAAATATATACCTTTATTCCCTTTTACAGTACTTGGCAGATATGACAGAGATGATAAAAGAGCATAGAAAGATCAGTGCTGGATATCTAACAATGTGCTGCCTAAATCAGTATGACCAGAGGCTGAATAAAGCTTTTCATTTGGCCCAACTGTCAGCTCTATGCAAGTCTTCAAACCAGAGCTCATCAAATATTAAAAAGGTTTCTATTAGTGGAAACTTCAGACTGCAGAGCAGTGGAGCGCTGTGTCCTGCAAAGCTCACTTCTTTTCCAAGGCAGTGGTGGTTAAGCTAGCAGAGACATTTTACACAGTGAATTTATTTAATGATTAATGGTCTCACCTGTGGATAAAGCACTTAACAAACTTTAGTATAAAAGGTTTGAAAAACACAATATTGTGCATGCTTCTATCTCTTCCCCTAATATGTCCCCAGCATGCTGGATTTTTCTTTTTTTTCTCATGTAGTGCACAGCAGGCTATAGTTCACTTTAGGTGACTTCAAAATTGCTGAAAATTACTGAAATACAGGCAGACCTTAGGTGCTTTATTCCCATATCGGAGCAATCTGACATCACACAGACTTCTTTCACCTTTCTTAAATCATGTGTCTGTCCTCAAAGGAGTGTTGCGTATTCCTTATGCAGCGGGTTCTGCTTGTTAACTACACGTTTCTGCTCGTTATCCATGATGAGATCTGTTTGAACTCTGCTTTACAACCACCTATGAAAAATTAGTTTCTACAGATAAAAGCATGGCCATGCCAAGGCTTCACTAGTGTCAGCCATTGTAATCGCTACATGGGGAAAGCATGGGTCAGAATCTAAACTTAAGAAGAAGCCATTGCAGAATTATCAGTTCACTGTGACTGCAATATGAAGTTCACAGGGGAGGATGTCAGGTAAAACAAATTGCTTATTTTAGTTCATATTTTTCATTGTTTACCAAAAACCTACACACACAGACCAGTACCTACGCTTGGACTGCCACAGTTCCCTAGAACTGGAGAGGCACAGGGAACAAAGGAGCACAGACGTCTGAAGAAAGCACTTAAAACCTGTGGCTATCCCATCTGGGCCTTCATTAAGTCAAAGAACATCAAGTCAAAGAGATTTATGGAAAAACAACACAACAACATCAAAAAAGAAGAAAAAAGCGGGCATAACAACATTGTCATTCTGCTTGTGGCTAGAGTGTTTGAGTAACTTAAAAGGCTTTTCTCCCAACTGAAGTTCCTGAGACACACGCCTAGAGGATAAAACACTTAAACACAACCTGAGCAATGTTATATATGCAGCCTAATGCGGTAAAGGGTGCACAGAAATATATACAGCGAACACCTGCATCAAAAGGATTGGGGGCACTCTCCTGAGAGCAGCAATGTACACAATTTGGACAGCCATGGTTTGAGAGAGGAGAGGGGGAAAAAGCCATCTGTGTTAAAATGGAAATACCATCTCTAAACAGGAAATGTGATTTACAACAACGCCTGTCAGCAAATTACAAAACAGTCCTGGCAAAACACCTTTGTGTGAATTTTGTGCGAACGATAACTCGCTGGTAGCCTTAAATGAATACCTGGAGCTGCACACCAGCTGCAGGCACTGAGAAAGCCTCTAGCATGAGAGGCGTAAGGCAAGGGCCAAAAACAAGTCCAGAAATCTTCTCCTTCCCTGGATAAATGAGATTCTAGACAGCCTCTACACGATGTTTCAATCAATAACAATTTGTTTAATGATGCTTACGTGCCTGAAGCCCTCAACTGAGTGACATTAAGAATTATATTCTTTATTCATTCATTCATCCATTTAGTCACGCATGAATAAAAAGCAGTTTACTTCAGAATGAATCAGAATACATAAAACCTTATACCCACTGATGAACTATGACAAGCTTCCGCAAGCTTTTGCTGCTCTGACAACGGAACGAGAACCCGTTTGAAGCACTCCACTTACATTATCCACTTCAGGAAAATAGCAGGACGTCAGAAGCAGCAGACTGCACTACGCATAGATAAGAGCTGAAAATGCTTCGACTGCAGCCTGAGTGTTTGTTTTGTTTGGATACAGTGCTGCTGACAACAAACAATGGCAACGGCAGTATTAGTTAGCAGAGTGTGAAATGGCCAAACATCACTTTGACTTAAGGATCCCGAGGGCCGTGCTGCGAAGTAAGTTCTTTGAGCGAGCTGGCTTAACAAAACCTAAAACCCCAGTGAGAGATAATGGGTATCACAAAGGTGGTTATCAACTTTCTCTGTTAACCCAGGCTTTCTGCTTCAGGCTATGTGCGCGCTCACATAAAAGGGTGCATTTGATGTGTCATTTCTTTTTTCTTCTGTACAGAACTGACCTACTTCGGTCAGAGACATTATCACAGAACAACTGGTGGGGGAAAAACAACAAAGGGCGACACTGGTACAGAACAAGAGAGCAATGCTGCAGAAAACTTCGAATCATGTAAATTTAGAATTAGTATACTTAGGGCTTTCGATGATGATGGGGTTTTTTTTGCTGTTTGCCAGATTAGATTTTTGAAACTTTAAACTTTTTCCATTGAACATTATAGTACACTCAGCATGTTCACATCTGTCACTGACCCACAGCCTTATGAAGGAAATGTGGAAACCCCCTAGTTTGTGAAATTAATGTTGCTAATTTAATATTCTTGGTGATGAATGGACCAACTGGTTATCTAATTTGTGTAATCTATTATCTGTAATTCTAGAACAACGTCAGAAGCACATTAAGGCCAAGTATGAAAACATAATTATACATTTTTCCTCTTACTAAACAAATACACACTGCATATAGTTTGTGCTGATGTAACTTTCCTTGTGTAGTGTTTATGAGGTACAGCTAGTTTGCATGTATAAAACTGCACAGAATCTATATTGCACTTAAAGCACCGTGCATTAAAAGAAAGTTAAGTTCAAACAAAGCATCAGAATGGGGGAAAAGGGAATTAAAATGACTGAACATATCATGGCTGCTTGCGCCTGAAAGGTCTACTCTGAGTATTTCACTAAATGCTGATTTAGTGGGACTTTCCTACACAACCATCTCTGGGGTTTACATATGTCCCTCACTTTATGTCCACAGCGTACCCGTGTTCTGGCACAAAGCTCATATCATCTCAGATTGGTTTCTTGAACACGACAATGAGTTCACTGTTTTCAGAGTTCAACTGCACACCTTTGGGATGTGGTGGAATGGGAGAGTCACATCATGGATGTGCAGTTGATAAATCTTCAGCAACTGTGTGACGCTCTCATATCAGTATAGACCAAAATCTTTGAGGAATGTTTCCAGCACCTTGTTCAAGTCGATCAAAACTGGGCCCAACCTGGTACCAACAAGGGAGAACTAATAGAATACCACTTAGAGAAATAAGAAGTTCTAGCTGGCTATTTGTGGTCCCTTGATGCAGCAGCAGAAGTTAGTGTCACGAAAAATTGCCCTCCCATAATTGATTTAGCCTTGGTGTGACTCTTTTATCAGTACAGTAAAAAGAACAAAAGTCTTACCTGTCTGTCCAGTTTCTGCTGGCGGAGGTTGGTGCCCTCATCATCTAAAGTGCTTTAAGAAAGAGCAAAGAAAGAGGAGTGATTAGGTTAAACTGCTCTTCAGCTCTTTGTTATATCTGTAATAGAATAATGACATTACTTAAGTCAATTAAATTGTTTCCCTGGAATTGCGAAGAACATTAAATACATGAAATCTTAAAGTCTTAGCTTGTTACCTAATAAAACACTATATGTTAATGAAGCTTCTCGCAAATTTCACAAAACAATGAATGTGTTTCTGCCTCGAGGTATTTTGTTTTCACATCATGAGCTATATCATCCTCTCTGCTGTGATTACTTCTTCACAATAAAAATACATAATACAAGTCATTATTCTCTGAAAAATAAAATCTAATCATTCATGTAAATAATTATTATGCTTTGGGCACCATTTACCAGAGAAGGATACAAAAATAATGCATACATTTTTTGTTATTGAAAACTGCATTCACTTACAGTCACATGGAAAAGAAAGCTTTGACAGGACTTAGGAAAAACTAAGAATACTCTGCTAATCAAATACATTTGATTAACTGGTCATCAGCAACTTCAAGCACCTCTTAAAGAAGAGGTTTTAGCAATACTCGGATATTGAGCTTGTTTTGCAGCCACAGGGTCTGGGCACCTTTTCAGTCATTGAGTCGACCATGAATTGCTCTGTGTAACAAAATATTCTAAAGTCAAATGTGAGGCCATCTGTCCAATAACAAAAGCTTGGCCCAAATTAGGCCATCTAACAGGATAATGCCCCAAAGCACTGAAGTACATCTACAACAGAATGGCTAAAAAAGAAAAGAATCAAGGTGATACAATGTTCCAGTCAAAGTCCAGCCCCCGATTGAAATGCTGTGGTCAGACCTTAAGACAGCCATGCATAAACAAATATCTTTAAATGTAAATTAAGTGAAGCTATGATAGAAAGAAGAGTGGGACAGAATTCCTTCACAATCATGAGAGAGACTGATAAAGTCAAACACAAAACAATTACTTCAAGTAACCGCTGCCAAAAGTGGCTCTACAAGCTACTAAATCATGCAGTGTACTTAATGTTTCACAGAACTGGATAGAGTACTGTGAAATCTTTGTTTTTCACAGAACTGTATCTGCTGCAGATACCGAATATGGACACGGCCCAAATGAGAATGTGTAGAGTACATGAAAACAATATTTCAGATACAAAGCATAGTAACAATGCACCCGTCAGCAAAACGAGTATAAAGGAGATGGCACTGCTGAGTTAACAGTGTCATAGCATTTTAGATAAAGATACTTATATCCTCTGGGTGGTTTATCATGATACACCATGCAGCAGTTAAATAACAGCATACTAAGCACTTAAATCACTTTTCAAAAAGGTTCCATACAATAATAACTGTCAGGGGAGTTATTAGAAAGCTGTCGCTGTCTCTCAGCGAATACAGCAGAAACATAAACAGAGGTGTCATTTGAATATTGTTCAAAGTGATGTTGATGATGCATTTTGATTTTCCTAGCAATGGACAGAATATAAATGGCAAAAGTCCAATATAATCTCCATAAATTAATTAGCAGTAGCAGAGCTTTAAATGTTTTGTGACGAGGAAGCATAACACAGCTTGAGCGACTGAACGCACATACACACAGCTACTCCGCTCAGTCAACAAAGATTAAGTGCTACTGAAGCAAACAACATTTCTGTGGATATTTGTTGAATCCATGGCTCAAACTTAAGAACACGTAAGGAACTGTATCCTTGAGCAAATGGAGAGGAACGTCTGCCACAAGAAAAGCAAAAACAGACGAGTTAAGGATGATGGGTTTTAAAGGCTGTTTGGGGCATATTGATGATTTTTCTGCTACATAAATAAAACTGAAACAGAAATTGCTTCAGATCCAGCATTACATGTTTACCAGTTGACCCTTAAAGGTAACATAAGGCAGTCACCGGTACACTGACCACATTGTTCACAGTGGAGACAATCACTGAAACGTCTCTTGCTGCATCTGTCTGCCGTCCATAGCTTCTGGCAATCCAGAAGCTGGACACTAATAGAATCTACTAAATGACTTCAATAAAGTGAAAGGCTTTGTGTTGCCTGTATCACCACAAACTAGATAAAGAAGTCTCCCTATTAGCTACAGTATTTTAGTCACAGTCCAATTAGTAGATGAGCCTTTCACCAGGGTATTGTGTTGGTCTTTTAGAGGATGCTGTTATCCCCATGCTCACTGAAATGTTTTATATCTCTCAAAAGCATTCCTGTGTCCTTTGCAACGAATTTGGTATCTGATGCAATGCAAATAGACCCTAAGGACAAAAGGAAGTCGCACGAGCTCACTGCAAGAACACACCACACAATAACCTACACACTCGCCTGACCTCGTCCTGCACCAACGATTCTCTGAGCATGCTTTGCTGAACAGTCAGCTATCCTCAGCAGCGCCGGCGTATACTGTATCTCTGTCTGCACGAACGCCACAGTTCACTTGAGCAATATTTGACGTGACATAATGACATACTGCCATCTGCAAATGCCTAAAGGTCAGCATAGCATGGGCACCCTGGGATATTGTGTCGTTCTAAAGCACAAAATACACGCCTGCATTGTTAATTTTAGATTAAAAAATATGCACAGTCACTTCCGATCACTTTGTCTGCAAATATATAAACCTTTCTACGCCCTGACTCCATAGCCCCGATAAAGATAATTGGAAGAGGATGGATGGACATAAACCTTATTAATATTATATCTACCACCAATACTCCAATAACCACTTACTCATCTTTAAATAACCCACTTCAATCACAATCAAGTGTGTAAAATGAAAAGACTGTTGATAAGATGATAAGAGGACTGAAGCTTCCGATTAGTCTTTGCTAATCAGCCTAATAACATTTCATACTACGAACAGTTGGCAATGCACATCATGATTTAGAGCTTAAAGTAATGACTGACCAAAAGTAGAAAAACTAATTGCCAGGTAATAATTACGTTAGGGAAGACAATGTTTATTTGAACAATGTGTATTACTTTAGTAATCGTAAACAAAACCGATTCATATCAAACAGCTGACTTCTCACTTATCATGATTATACTCGACATTTAGGGAGGGGAAAAAAAGGAGGAGTGCTAGTTAAAATGTGGAGAGCATTGTTACACAAGTATGACGAGGTTACGCAATACTGTGGCGATACAGAAGAATGAGGTTACTTGCAAGTCATCACTTTCCTATTCCTCTCCCTTATTGTCAGTAGGAAAAATAATCAATATCAGAAATTTGTTGTGCTGTAAATTAGATTTTAAATGGATATTTTGTATTGCAGTTTTCCCTGAAGATTAATGTGTAAGGCCCATTAAAACAAAGTGGAAGCTTTTGTTAGGAAATCTACTTAACAAGTTTACTTTATATTCTTTACTTTAAAGCTGAACTCTTTTATAAAACTATTCAGATCTTTGCTTTGACACTTCAAACTGTTGCACTGTTTATGCTACAGTCACGCTAATGGTTGGAAGCCACGGCACAATCAAAACTGTGCGATTAACTTTTGAGTTTGTTGCCTTTGAAATGGTTGCTTCTAAGATGGGGATGAAGTCTGTGACCATTTGCAGTTAGTTTCTTGTCAACGTTCAGGAAAAATGCAGCTGAATGTAGAACTAAGGCAGGAAGCCAAACTCCACAAGGTGCAAAAATCCTTAACAGATTAACAATTCCAAAACATGACCTAAGAGACACAAGAGAGGTCGTACAGACATCCAGACAAAGACCAAGACTATAAATACATATTTTCCTAGATTTATGACTATAGAAACAAACTTTGTAACTGATCACAGATATCCTTGGTCTGTGAGGTAAACAAGGACCCAACAGTTTAACCAACAGGATTTATGTTCTGGCTAACACCATTCCTTAGATGCAGCATGGGGCTGGCAGCATTGAGATGCTCTACTTCTCCACAGAAGGCTTAGAGAGGCTGACAGCATAGAATGAATTGAGTAAAATGGAGTACTTAAAGAAAACTCCAAGTTCTCTTAGCATAACACTGTTGTGAAACTTACAACCAAAGGCCAGACTTACACAGCACTGCACATCTGTAAAGAAACCTGAAGACAGAAGCTCACTGATGCTCTCTGTTTAAATCGAACAATGATCCAGGTTTGTAAATTTGAAATTATAACTGCAGCCAAAAGGGGGTCTACGAACTTCTTGGTTTAGGTTCCTAATGTTTTTGTAAATGAAAACAGCTAGTTTTCATGTCTCGTGTACCCAGAACAGACAGATTAGTGTGCCATCAGCAATGATGTGGTCTGTTGTGGTGAAAAACGAGCTCAAGCTGAAAGTGAAGCTGTCAGTATCTGGATCGATATACGTTCCCACGCTCACCTATATTTACAAGCTTTAAAGTAGTGAGTGAAAGGATGAGAATGCAGATACAAGTGGCAGATATGAGCTGCCGCCATAGAGAGACTGGGCTCAGCCTTAGAGATAGCGTGAGGAGCTTGGTCCTTCGGGAGGGCTTCAAAATAGAAGAGCTATTTGACTATCGTATGGACGTATGCCATGGGTCTGGAGGAAGATGCAAAGAAAAACTTTCTATTCAGCCACATATTTTAAAATATGTCCATTAGTTGTTGTTTTTTTAATCTGATGATTCTTTGAAATTAAGTCCACATGACGTGACAGTGCATTTTTTTTTTTTTTAGATAAAGCTAATAAAAAAAAAGGCTTTCCTTTTGCGAGGGACATATAGTTGCATGCTTTATAATTCAAGTCATAAACTTAGCATTTATACAGCAATTAACTGTAGACTGCCTGTTTATGATTCGACAGCTTTTAATTTAAAGCAACCCGCAATGCTTGTGTCGGTGTTGTAGTCCGTCCATCCGCCTGTTACATAAAGCACTACGTAACTAGAGTAAACAACTACAGATCAAGAAAAGCAAAATGACAACAGATCCAATTATGAATGTATTTGTGACAATTTGTGTTCTACAAACAAAGTTATAATTTGACAGATGCCAGTATTTCTCGGTAACATTGTTAAACATTGTTTCTCGTAGCCGGCCAACAGCACTTAAATTCTGTTTGACCTTTCCTTTCATTTGTGCTCTTGTAAAACGTTTTTCTCCAAGACAGCGACAGGATGATTTTTTTAATCACACATTTTTAACACTGTGCAAATTTGAGGCAAATTTTAGACAGGCATCAGGACTTCATACGTACTGCTGGAGAAGATCAAACCCCACTCAAGTTAACTTGTTACTCCTGCTGTGCTTCCTTTTCCTCTGCTCTCCAATACTCTCCAATACCAATAATGTATTAAAGTAAATAAAATAGTAGCTCCTACTAACAAAGCTACAGGATTCATTCAGCACCAGTGATTAGCTGGTTCTACTTTTTATTGAGTCTTCAGTTTTTTGCTTTTTTTTTTATTATTACCGCAAGAGCTTTTAATCACTGACCACAGGCTCACTGATTGTTCCTTCAGCTCTTGGACGGGCGTCTAAGAGTCCTCTAACAAACATCCACGGCTCCTAATTCATTTCCTGCAGCACAGCTTGAGAGAATGAGCTAAAGTAGAAGAGTAGAAGAGAAGATGATGAAGGATAGAGAGGAAAATGTGCTTCTGATGTTTGATGAATCAAAGCTCAGATTTGGCGTTCCACTCTTGTGATTGAAATCGCTTTGTGTTATAAACATAAAAACATACTTCTTCTGTCACTTTATTCAAGCTTCCTTTTAATCTACTCCTAACCTGGAGACCCTGTAGCAGGAGCAGGCTCAGTTTGTCATAGAAATGACCCTGCAGCATTTTTCAAAGTATGACTACGACTATCATTACGGGGTTATAAAGTTTGTTTCTGTTGAAAGGTTACACAAAATCAGTGTCTTTCTGATTGACATTTTTGATCAAGAAGAAGTAAAGTTTTGCTGGAGCTTTCGATTACACTCTGGCCTTGCAATAACAGTCAATACTGTGTTTCAAAATTCCTCGAAATGTCTCTAATGGCTTTAATAATACTAAAAAGGGAAAGAAAAAGATCTGTTGTTGCTCTGTGACTACACTGAATCTGTTTGCATTTTTTGAGTGTGCAACACCCTCAACGTCTGGACAACCACTTTCCATTGCAAGGCAATTGTGCACGTCCCCTGGTGGGAAACAACCTCTCTCTAAACATGTCTGACACAAACTGGCTGCAATCACTCTCAGACAGATTTGAAGGTTTGTAAATAACTGGCTTCCCATTTATAAGCACAGATTGCAAACACATTACAATTGATCTGAGTCAGTTTGCAAATCTATGAGGTTCTGCCCGGACTCTGAATGCAAGTAGTTCATGTGAATTTCTGTGTATGTAAAAGGTTACAGGTTAGTGCTTTTTAGGTCATTTCACTTTTCACAATAGATAGATAGATGGCTGCAATTCGCTGCAGACCTGGTTCCCACCTATCTTCGAATCATCATTCATTGCACATGGTCCCAATAATTTGGTTCTTGTCGAGGTCTGCACCACTATTTTTCCTACTGTGATAGTAACATTACCCACATTCTGACTAAATATCGCAATTTTTTCATTTTTAATTGTAAATTTTTAAAATGTCCAGTCTTCCTGACACACAACTAATGATGAGGCACGTATATGTGCATAATTTGGTTGATCTCTTCTTCAGTAGAAATTATTTTTTAGTTACAACATTTAAAAGCAATTGCAATCCTGTATTTCAGTTTAAATCTTTCGTCTCGTTTTTTCCCTAACCAATCTCTCAGATTGCTTACCAGCAACTTCAACGAAATTCTTTCCATCACCCACTATGACTGGCTGCATGAAGGTACAATAGAGTAATTGAGCATAAACTAATGTTCCTTTATGAACATGGTTGATGAACCTTTTTACCTTTTTACACGCTTCATTCATGTGTCAGAATCCTATTAGTGGAGTCTTGAATGTGGACCATGTAAAATCATTCAATAAACTGATAGCGCTGTGCCACCGACTCTAGTTTGATGACAAATGCCCACACAGATGCAATAAAAAAGTATTTACCTCCCACATGCTGTCAGACATACAGACAAACAAAGCACTCCGTGTCTATTGATCAAGTGTGAATAGGCATCAGACTGAAAGATAATGGCACAAACACGTGCTTTTGTAGTGCAGGTCAAACAGCTCATTATTATGTGGAGAGCCTGGTCATTCTTTAACACACCTCTGTAGTGTATACTGACCAGGTAAAGCACTGACATCCGGGTCTATCCATTGCAATAAATCACCTTTACAAAACCTATAAAATATAATTTAAAACTAAGGTGCAAAATAAGCACCTCAGCAATTCTTAAAAAGAAATGAAAAGCTTATCCCTGAATACTTGCATGCAAGTTTGCAAAGTCTTTGTTGCCATATAAATTCAGTATTTTTATTGTGGTTTTTAAACTGATAGACTGGCTGCTGGACTGATTCAATACTAAGGTGGAAAAAGGCACCTTAGCGCCATCTGATGAATAAAGAAAACCTAGATTCATCAGAATTAATTGTGTCTGAAATCAAATGTATGATATTTACATATTTATGCTGTAAAGTACTGTTGCTAACAGTGTGGAAGTAGTGCCGAAATCATCTGTCGAGCCCGACCAATACAGGATTTTTGAGACCAATATCAATACAGATATCTGGTGATTTCCAAATCCAACATTCTTATATTTTTTCAATATTTTTTTCTTTCAGATGCACAAAACATAAACAGATTTCTCTAACATTTCTCATTTGTAGTTATTTATTTACTCGTTTAGGCTCTGCTTGGATCAGCTGTAGCTAACGGGCAAGTTGCAGAGTGCACTCTGGTGAACAGACAATGCACTCATTACATGTTTGAAAGGTCTTTCTTCTTCTTTTCATTTATTAACCATTAAACATGTCAATACTGATAGAGTGGCAAGATAATATCGGCTGCCAATAAATCAGCTGGGTTCAAATCATCTATACCAACATACCATGCTACATTGCCCAGGATTCTGATTTTCGTTGAAACAATAGCTTGCCTATTGTCAGTCCTTTTTAAAAAAATAAATAAATAAACTGAACGACGCCTTAGCTGCTGTTGAATGTAGGACTGGATGGAGAACAGAATAGAAGTTATGAGACCCTCATATTTTTAAAATAGTTTTGCATGCATCATCAGGTTTAAAATATGTGACAGTAATTGGCTGATGAATCTGCAGCAGCAGTGTGCAACACTACAGGCAATCCATTATGGAGACACAAAAGCAAGATTATTTTTGTCATTTGCATGGTGAAATGCATGAAATTCTGGAAAATGAATCTCATGAGCGTTGTGCAGATGTAGATTGACCTTGCAGGTGGGAATGTAAATAATAAAGCTTTTAAGTACTTTTGTGGTATAGGACACCATGTCTTGCTCTACTAAATTGGTTATTACTGAAAAGGTCATGTAAAAAAAATAGAATCGGACGATTAACAGATTTTTGACAACATAATTTCTTCTTTGCCACATGAGAGGAAAAAAACTACAATCCTGATTTGATGAATAATTCATACACAGAGAAGAACAAATTAAGCATCACCAATTCTATGTGGATGTTTGAGCAGCATGTTTCCTTGATTTACTTGCTTTCTGTGCGCTGTATACCTCTAACTAACAGATCTACAGAGTGCTGCTGTATCCAACCCTCCCTGCAAAGAGGCCCATGTATTTTTAATGTCAGCTTCATGAGATGAAATCAAAATTCTGCTCACTGGCATGACCTCTTTCAAATAGTATATACAAGTACTGTTACTGCAATGGATACTTTTACTGGTTAATATCTAGTTAGTATTTAATATTGCTGCCTAGCATTCGTTAACAGCTTTTCTGGTCAAGTGATAAGGAGGCCATGGAGAGATAGTTGTAATTTGTACTGCTAGGCTAGCTATTTAAGTCTGTGCATTTACTGCATTTCATTAAATGCTTTTGTTTCAACTTTGCCATAGTAGGAGGAATCTTATTCCAAATAAAACCCACAGAGGTTGCTTCCTGCTGTTGTCCTGATGCAGTCTCATTCTGAAATTTGCGGATTGCCACCGTAACTTATAGCAACCATAAGCCAATGGTCTCAAAGCAAGCAAGGGAAACCATGGCAATGGGCATTCAATTAGAGGAAGGAGCCACCAGCTTTGGTACTACACTTGAAATGCTTATGTTTTATAACAGGAGATTTAGAGCTACAAAACGGCATGACTGCCACCAGCATGGCTCAGTGAAGCTCATACTGGCACATGCAGGAAGAAAGGAGATGTAAAACATGCACATTTACACGTCAGGAACTTTCTCAGTGATTAAAAAAGTGGACATTAATAAATGTACAAATGTGAACGTGGTTCTATCTTTGATATGCACAGCAATCAAACTGGATCCAAACTGATCAGAGACAGCACTGAATCACATTATGGACAGTTGTGAAACAATATGAGATCATCAGAGGTTGATGCAGTTGACATTTTGGGATTGTTCTTTTTTGTTTGTTTTTTTTGGTGATTCTTCAACAACTCGGCACCTAAACTAAAAATTTTAAAAAAAATTAAAACCCTGCACAAAAAAAAAGAAAAAAAACATTACTCTATGCTTTTCTGTCATCATACCGGCTCAATGTTACTGTTAATCAGTCTGATCTCTGAACACTCGCTCAAATAATCACACATGCTTCAAAAGATGAACACTGTGCCCCCTCTGTGTGTTCTCAGGAATGTGGTACAGTACCTGTAGGGAATCCAGTCGGAGGAGTGCTTGGAGCTCATTCTGTATTTATGACTGTTGCTGTCTAACTGCAAGGCTAACGGCCTGCAACAGCACCAGTGGAAGAGGCTATGGGGTCTGAGGACAGCGATCACAGCCAACGAGCCCACACCGCCTGTTCATCCTCTGCACACAGCTCTATATTCCCAGCCTGCCTGTGTGCTTTTTGTACGTCCTCTAGTTGTGGGGCAGCAGATGACTAACAATCCAGTCAGACAGCCGCACTCTTCAGTCATGCACAGTGAACACATGAAATAGCCGTTTTCTTCTCTCTTCCATGTGTATGCTTCCAGTCAATGCCTCTCCTCTTCTCTTCTCCCATCCGCTCCCTCTGCTCCTTCTCTGCGCTGGCTCTCTTCCCTCGCACTTACTCTGTAGGCTCTATCTAAATCTCCCTCTGTTTCTTTCCCTTTAAATCCCCCCTCCCCTCCTTATTCTCAGTCCAAATCTCGATCTCTGCCTCTTTGCCCAATCTATCGCTCATTATCGCTCGTGCAACATCACCTACGCTCGCAGTGAGTGCAAAGTCAAAGGTTCAAAAAGTAAGAAAGGTTATAGAGAATCCCTTTTGTCTTGCATCTTTGATGTTCCTTTAGCGCTATTTTTGTGCAGTGCCACCCCCTCGTTCAAATGCAGCCCTACACATACTGTCTCTCTCGCTCTCTCTTTACGCAGACTCCCTGTATCTTTCTTGCACACTATCTGTGTTGTATGAGGCATGATAAGCAGGCATTCAGATTTTTTTTTTTTCTGGCCCATAATTTATTTATTCTTTCAGAGTAAGAGGCATTAGCATATGACTGTGCAGACTAGTGTTAACAGCCTTTAATTCAACGCTCTCTACGGGCAGACAAAGGCACCCTGTGATAGTGCCACAGCTCTGAACCTCTCTCACACACATCTGCTTCCGCCCTCCGTCTGCAGCCCCTCACTGTCAGCACACAAACACACATCACTCACTGTGCTCCCAGGGTTATTCAGGAGTCCATCGATAGACAGTTAAACCAAGTGGCTTCTTTGTTTCGAACCTGGTGCAGGAGTGAGTTTAGTATGAAAACGCAGAAATCTTCTTTTTAGACGCCATGTGGAAAATGACCTGCAGCAATCCTGAAAAATCTTTTTTTTTTTTGGGGGGGGGATCTATTTCCAGTGGGTACAAATGAAACCATTTTGCCTTCTACTGACTCCCTCCTAAATAGCCAGGAAGTGGGACGCACACAAACTTATGGCTGATGCAGGGCTAAGATCTTTGTTACATGCTCAAGCTCCAGTTCACTATTGTGCAAAGTGTTACTCAAAGACAGACAAAGAGCGCAGCTACTTTTAAAGGCTTTCAAGCATTGTCCCTCAATTATTCATTGCAAGTAAAAACAAACACCACACTGAATACTGGTAGGGGGAAAAAAGCCAGCTGAGAAATAAGTCCATGACAAAAGATGCGTTAAAAATAATTTTGACAGAATTTGGCTCCTTGAAAAATAAAAATGAATGACTTGGATTTAATATTCTTCAAACACAACACCCTGCTTGTTATTACAACATGAATTCTGCTTATGATTTCTCACTCTTTGTGTTTCTACATGTAAAGAAACATTAGTTAGTGGGGTGACAAAAATCAGCATGTGTATTAACAGCATGCCCTTATATAACTAAAACTGACAGAAAGTCTGAAATACAACCGGTCAGTCAAATAAATGAATAAATACATATTTGATCCTCTTGTACAGCCAATAACATCAAAGCACACTGCGGCTGCTTTACTGAAAGCACAATGAAAAGATTGATTATATTCTGTAACGGTATGGCCTTTCCAAAATGTCATGTTGCAAAGGTGGTTCACCTTGCCTGTTGTTTATGTTTCAGTAAACAGTAAAATATATCAACTTTCAGAAAATTCCACACATATCAATCCCTTATGTAGTCGTTTCCAACAGCGTCAGAAACCACAAACAATGTTTAAATAAATGGTAGGCAAAACGTCTGTGTATGCTTTCTATGAAGGCCGAGAATATAAAGGAGAATTCTGGTTTCCTGTTGAACATGGAAGCTTGTTATTTGGCCTTGGAAAAGCAGTGACATGTTGCTATATCAAGCCACCAGGTGAAACATTGCCTGTTTGAATTATATTGAATTGGGCAGTAAGGCTGATGCTGTTTCTTCTGCAAATTACACAATCATCATTCCAAGGTCTTTTTCTTTTAAAGAGAAAAGAGCGAGTAGTAGTAGTTTTTCCTCACAGCCCACAAGACGCTGGGTTTTGAGTCTTGCAATTCATTTGAAAATACAATTATTGTAATTGCATTGGTCCCCGGTTGCTCCCAGTTTCCTCTCTGCCTTCTCCTCTCCTCTTTTTCTTTCTTCTTCCTTCTCTCTTTCCATAACAGGTAGCTCAAGAAAGAAAGAAAATATCCAAGAATGCCAGCCTGCATTATCTTCCTGGTAACAGTATCTTGGTGGAAAGACAACACAGTAATGGAACAGCTCTGTCTGTGCCCACGAGCAAGGCACTGACTCACATACACCTCGGGTCCAAGAATGACGCACAAGAGATTTATAATGTATGGCAAACTGGCATTGCATTATAAGCCCTGGTAAGGAGGTAAATGTCAAAGACAGTCAATAAACTGAACTGTTAATTCACTCCGTGGTTAATGGTGTGCTCCCTGCAAGTCAGCTGGTGTGATAAAAGTGGAAGTAAATAAAACAAGTAACCCCACTAAGGAACAGGTGTAAGCACAGGACTGTGATAAATATTTGATGCTGAGAGGAAGACTTTGAAGTCTGGCGCTGGTCCTGAGAGGCCTGACTTTCCTAGTGACTACAGCAAACAGTCTTTCTTTCTTTCTTTCTTTCTTTCTTTCTTTCTTTCTTTCTTTCTTTCTTTCTTTCCTTCTTCCATCCATTCTTCCATCATGTTCCTCATCTTTTCCCCCTGGCTTTACAACCATTACCGCATTAAAAACCAAATGATAAGATCCTCTTTTTAAATTAAATTTTTTAAGTCCAGAATTTGTGCAGAGTTCTTCCCAGAGGCATTTTTCTGTTGGTAACAGGAGGCCAGACAGTATCAGTAATTATAACAATGGTCCTGGCATAGAAGGCACACTGATGTGAAAATGGATCTCTGGCCTGTATCTGCTTGCCTTCGTCAGACTGGCTGAAGCACAGCTGCGGAGTGCACAGCCTTAATAATATAGTAGCCTGATCATCAGCCGTGCAGGTCATAAGTTAACTGATGAGTGACAGAAACAATCAACCAAAAAGCACAGTGCTCAAATGCAACAGTTCCATGAACCACTGAATGCAGTGAAGACATTGCTGCTAACATGCAAGAGAATCGGGCTGTTTTCAGCACTTTTGAGATTTAAGTCCTTACGCTGGCGCCAAAGTACACAACCATAGCAGTTGCATTCCTATCCTCCCAAAAATACAAAGTGTTTAGTGCACTGTACAACTTCCAAAGTTGGAAATTTACGAGTTTATTTGGGAAGAATGTGTAGAATGTACAGCATAGGTGATAGTTGATTGCCAACAGTGGACAAGTATTTTGGCAAATTTATGCTTTTAAATTTTCACTGTGCAAATCATTTCTCCAAGTTGTTACATAACAGCATGTTACAGAGGTCACGCCTGGTTTCCATTATTTATAAACTGACGTGGTTTTGTCCAGCTTTAGAGGCGATCCGTTCAGGAGTGGTTGATAACCTTATCACAAAAATCTAGCCCAGGACCTGTTTGATGCACCATTAAAAACAAAAAAAAATGCTGTGCTGTGCTGTGCAGCGTTTGTAGCCCTCCAGATTGTGACTAGAGAAAGCTATATTTTCCAGCAGCTTTTTGAGACTTTCATGACGTAGTCAGCCTTGAATCGAGGGCTCCGAAGGCGGTAATTAGGCCTCAGCTAAGGAGTGAGTCACTGAGTGGATCCAGATTATGTCATCACACAAGGGAGCTGCCACATTTTTGAGAGCCAAGGGATTGTGTAGCCAATATGTTGGTGTAAACTTAAAAAAAACTGTATGCATCAGGATTAAGAGCTTTGATTATGCAAGATAAAACAGTAGAGTAACAAGCCTTCAATGGATGGTGCAACATCTTGTGAGTAAGTACAACTTGATGTTGCAGAGAAAGAAAGGGCTGCGGAAGCTCAGCCATGCTTGACTGTCAACCATTCTTTGTCAAGAGCTTCTGAATAATAGGACAATGCTGCATTTACACATGAAGGCATGACTGGCAGAAGAAAAACAGCTCTACAACAAACTGATTTCTATTAGTGCATATAATAGAAAATCGCTCTAACAAAAGATTGCAAGAAAGCAAGCAGACAACCTTTTGTTCCCTCTTATCACTCATGGAAGAGGGCGAATAGCATAATCAAGCTACTTCCATGTACTTGAGAAAAAATCTCAGTCATAATCAGATAACATTTGATTGTTCAATTTTACAATAAATCCAGTAAAAAACGCTGGATAATTCCTGTGGAACACACTGTCGGAAAAGCTGACTACACACGTTAACTAACTGAGAGAAAACTCCCTCTTGCACTCTGCAAGAGGCCGAGCGAGGCCTGATACGAATCAGCAGCAGTCTGACGCTTAGCTGCAATTCGCTGGATGATATAATTATTTATAGATGGATGTAGATGGAGACTCCTCAGGTTTTTCTTTTTTTTACTCCTACAAATATTCAAAGAAATCGAGAGCGACAGCAAGCGGCTAAAAACCAAAAAAGCTTGCCTCTGAAGGTTGCTGTGAGGCATTTTGTCTAAACAGTGGCATCTTTCTTTTAAGGGGTGTTGTAAATCTTTGAGGGAGAGAGGGGGAGAGAGAAACAGAGACTATGTGTGTGTTTGTGAGTGTGACTGAAAAGTAAATCTCACGGCTTCAGAAACACAGTGAGAAACTGTGTGTGAGCTTACACATGAAAAGAATAAAAAGTGAATGAGCACAACTGCTTGCGCCCAGCTGTGACTGAATCTAATATGCACCTTCAATTGATTCCCCAAAAGCAATAGCAGGGGAACAATGCAGTGTTTTCTTGCTCGTAGATGTAAAATGTAGGGGAATCTAAATTCACAATTTCATAATTTGGTTACATTTATAATAGCAACATTTTTAGTATTGATTCTTCTGCGTCTTTAGAACTAGGGAAGTGTAAAACTGGATACACACCGGGGAATCAGCATGTGGGACACACACACACACACAAACATACATACACAGTTCTTGTATCAACATAAGTCCTTCTATCTCATTGTTCAGTGGCCATCAGAGGGCATGCATAAAACATGATTTGGATTAGAAAATGTCATGCTGGATGAAACAGTGTCCCAGTGTCCCAGTGAGGGAACCAGATGGACTGCTTCAATACACTAAAGTTCTTTTCCATCCTCCAAACCACAGAAAAGCTTTATTTGTGCACTCGTAAACTGTAAATACATGCACACGTGCACATTGTGGATGCAAATGGACATTTTAGAAAGAAAGAAAAAGAAGTCCTAAATAGTAGCTTAATCTATTATGTATTAAAAGATGTCTGTCTGACTAAGCATGGGTGGAAGCTGCAAATTTGCATCAGTTAGATGCACTGTCTATTGTGCTTTTATGGAGCGAGGTTTACCAGCATCACCGCTGTGAAAGAAACCAACAAGAAAAA